TAATTTCTATATATATTTATCTTTTAGAAATAAAGAACATTCTGTAATTATTTACCATTTATTTATTATTTACTTCATGACTGTTCTTCTTCTGTGGGACACGGATAATATATTTTTAGAAATGTGGGCTTTTGTCTGCACAATTGCATTGCTAGTAACCAAAACTGGTTTAAAAAAACACTGTTAACAGTTTCCTGTAGAATATACACTAACCTATGGGCAACAGTTTGTCAGTATCTTAATGTAAATCATTTACAGCAAAAATAACGTATTTACAGCAGCATTTATCTTGCTGTATATGTATTTACAGAATTGTATATACTGTGTTTACTGTAAAATATACAGTAATTTACTTTAAAAGTCATTTTCTCAATAAAACTTTAAAATACAGTTACATACTACATGTCTGTCCTACAATAAAATTTGGTTAATATTAAATTAAATACTGTGTCTAACCATCACCAGTGATCTAAACCTGCAGATCCTACAGATCCTACAGATCCAGTCATGCATCATACACACACCTGTTCTGGTTGTTGAGATAAGATAGCTGGTGATTGTGACAGAGTAATTTACAAAAATTGTTAAAACTTTAGTAAAACTTTAAGTTTTGATTTAAAACTTTTATAGGAATTCGAAATTATTTTTTTGGGGTGAACTCTTTCTTATGAAAAAGTACACTTTAGCAAAAGTGAAAATATAATATAATATAATATAATATAATATAATATAATATAATTCAAGCAAAAACATACAAGCTTTAATGAAAGTTTTCGATAAAAGAAACATTAGAAAGGGTTCTTTTTAATTAATGTTAAAGTAATCATGCATTATTACTGATGTTTCACAGAAGATATCGACTAAAGTGTCATTCAGAGTAAGATTTTATAGAAAAATCTTGTTATATTCAGAATAAAAATTATTTAAATTAAGTATCACAGAGCAGTTCTTAAAAACTAATTGTAATTTTAAACCTTTATATTTTGCCAACATCCTTCATACCTTTATGTTTTACCAATTAGTCAACAAGTGGTTTTATTCTTTTACAATACATTAGAATCCAGTATTATTGCTTATTTGTTCATATACTTACAGGTCAGAAAAAGTGTGTTGTTTCATTTTTGCATAAGTATACCTGTTTTAATGAAGGCTGATGAAACATCTCATGTTTTGACATTATATTTTTATACAAAATTATCTAAAAAATAAAAATTGCATTTAAAAGTGCAGTATGTAAGTTTGAGACCCAGTGGATAAACTAGGTATTGCATTCCTGGATCAAAACAAGCGCAAGTGCAGGTTGCCAGATTAAGGTCCAACAGGAGCTTGATAGAAGGATTATTTTTCATATTAAAAGGAGTTTTTGTTCTAACCAACTCCAGGAATTGATATATTAAACACGGTTTCTATTTCTTGCAGCTGAACAATAGAAAACTGACAATGATCACCTTAGATACACCTCATGTGCTTTATTCAGTGTTAAATGTTCATAATGTGAGTTTGAATGCCATTTTACAGGACATTTATTGCCATACTACTGACAGCAGCAGCAGATAGTTCACTTCAGATCTTGAAAATAAAATAAACCATGCGAAATTGAACTTTAAAACTGACTCAAAACCAACACATATCAGTGATTCAGCATCTGCATTTAATAATTTTAAAGAGGTTTAATATGTATTAATTAGATTACAAACCTTACCAAATCGCTGGAGTGCCGTGAGTGCACTATTCTGTGCTTCTGAATGGCTGTATTTAATTTTCTGTCATGTTTTGTCTGGTGCAAACAGTCAAATTGTTTATCACTGCAAATCTCATCGCGTAGCGTGTTGTTAGGACATGGGGGTTACAATGTAACCTGCTCACCTAATGTTTACAAAAGTAATATTTATATTATTTGCAAATTAATAACCTCATGCTTTGAGAGCCTTTAAGTAGCAGTGGGTGGGTTAAAAGAACCAAAACAAGACAGCTGTTTTCTGCACGTAACTTACATTTTAAAAGCAGAATATCTGACTTTAGCATTGTTTATTTATTTTTTTAGATAAACAAGAATGTCCACTTAGCTTGTTTCTAAATTATCTACAAACATATGATGGTATTTTTATGCTTTAGAAACGAGTCGACACCTACATACAGCACTTTTAACATGCTTCTTGTTTATGTAAAATCCTTTCTGAACACTTAATTACATATTAGTAATGTAACAAAAATCCATCCCAGTTTAGGTTTAAACTAAAAATGTACTTAGTCATCTTCAGAGTGCTTTTCTAAACCACTTAAGTATGACTTAAATACATATTCATATGCGATTGCATAATTATTTCTATTGTCTTATATGAGCTGTTCTTAAAGTGTACGGAGCTGACAAGCTTTGATAGTTCTAAAATTGACTGTTATGTCATTTCTCCTGAAACTGATTAAATATTTAAATCATTTGAAAATGATTACAGCAGAAAGGAGCTTTTATAGATTTCAGCCTTATCATGTGATTATAATGTTTGTCTTGTGTGGTAAACCTTATTGACTTTACACCTACTGGACCACAGCTTCCCTATTTCATAATTGCTTCTGACAGTCATTCGCATGGTTAATGTTCATCCACAATAATGTAGCATTCCTGCCAAGGCCAGATTCACCGGTGTGTTTTTCTTTTTCTCCGAATAAGTGTATGTGCAGACAATCTATATAAGGAAAATGTACACCTGTTCCAGTGTACAGAATGATCAGTTCTCTTTGTCTTTGCTGCTGGCAGTGAGTCAGCTAATTACAGTGGAAAAGAGCCCTGTTACTGCTCTCAAGCGCGAATGACCTCAAATAGCCATGTTCTCTGAATCACATGCAAACATAACACAAACACTGTCCAGTGTGGTCTGAATGACACCTGTTTATGTCATAACAAAGGAGAAGTAAATATTTCCCATGGAGCGTGTAGGGTGTTTTACTCTAAAAGGGAGAGGAAGCGCAGAAAACCTGTTCTGTTCCTGCTTAGCAGCATGACAAACGCACACATCAGATACTGAGTCATCGCAGAGATATTTTACAGGCAGGAAAACATGCTTGCTAAAAATAATCCGTCTTTAATGTTAAATCCTCAATCCAACCGTGTTTGAACTCCAAACCTGAGGGCTTGAGCTGCACCATCTATTATGTGCTTTCACTAATTCAGGCAAGCAGGACACGAACAATGCGTGCTGAAATATTCCACATTTTTCGGAAACTGCAGTATCAAATCAAAGTCTGAATTCTTACACGATGTTAAGCATAATTGAGTGCACCCCATTTTGAAAATGAATTTTTTTATCCATTTCTCAGTGAATATAGGCAATATATTTAAGTGCATTTAACAAAACAGATTTACTAAACAATATTAAATAATATTTTAGTCACCAAACATATTTAGAAATTGAAAGAATGCAATTAAATTCAAGCAAAATATTGCAAAAAAATTACAACCTACAAAATTTCAACATAATTTTTCTTTTTTTTTCTTTTTTTTTTTTTTGCTTCTCTTGATTTTTCCTTTTTTTTTATTTAATATTTTTCTACAACATAAATCTGGGTGTACTAGTTTTTGGACTGTTGTCTTGAGTTATTTTGTTAGATAAGCGCCAGATTTGGTTTCAGTACTGACAAATCTTGTATATGCACAAATATAATATTGTATAGCTTCCTATTAAAAATTTGAATTTAAAAGAAAGATTTGTAAGAGAAAACTACCTTTTCCAAAATGTACAATGTGATAAAGCATAAAAAAGAGAAGTCTAAATTCCCTTGAGTCTTTTCTAAACAGGGCTCTCTTTTTCTGTACTGAAACAGGTGCTCTTTCAATTACAGCCTTCCAAATTAAGAGTGGTCACTGCCAATAAAATGGGGACAAAGGTTCCCCCATAGTCTGTGTGGGACACACATGCATGCATCAGATTTTATTTTGTCACACAATTTATGTTTGCTGGAGTCCTTGTCTTGCGTGCCCTGAAGGCTAGTAAATTATTTGCTGAAATATGCTAATAGACCAAAGGACTGTGCGTCACACAGGCGTATGTTTCCCTGCTCTTTGTGCATTCTCGTTTTGTTTAAATTAAACAAACATCTCCTTCGTAGAAAGATGTATGGTTATTCTACAAAGGGCACAACCACCACTCCCTTATCTTTCTCTTTATGGCGATGAGTCATCAGCACATTAACAAATATGAACTGCAAATATAGAGTAACCCACCGATTCGTCAGACGCACAAGTATTTTTATCCAAGCAGGATACATATGTTTGACATATTTGCAGGAAGATGATGCATATTAAATGTACTGGTGAGAAAATAAGCTCATAAATAGCTATAGTGCAGAGCACTAATGAGCACAACACAGCCCCATGGGCCCTGAATGTCGAAATCAGTTAATCATTGCCTAGCCATGTGTTTTGATGGAGAATGAAAAATATGAATGCAACTTCCTTGGATTTCACAATGCCAGACATGTGGAGTAAATTGTGATCATTTGAAAAGAATACAAAGACATCAGTTTTACATAAATGTTACTTAAAAGCTCTGTATGCAGCTTGAAATGCTGAGGGAAAGGGAGAACTGATTAAACTCGTGCTTTTACTATTCATCTGGAAGGTGAATGGCATGTTGCGATTGCTCAATCGTCGAGACTGCAATGAATGTGTCACTAGAGAGAGTCTGAACCGGGCGGAGTTCCAGCATTGGGAAGTCCGATTCAATTTAGTGAATCGCACGAAGCAGTTCGGTCGAAATGATTCGATGACTCTTTGGAGTCATAACTCAATTTAGTTACATTCGCGGTATTGTAATAATAATTTATTAGGTGAATGCATTTTATTTAATTATATCTCAATGGTTTTGATAACCCCGTTGTGCACACGGGTCTAATTACTCTCAGTGTATCGCTTTATTCAGTGGAATGGTTGACGGAAGCTTGTGAATCGACTCACTGAAAAGAACCGACTCGCTCGAATCGGACATCAGCTGAAAGTAGAGCTCAGAAAGCAGCATCAGTAGTTTAGTCAGTGAGTCAGACAGCCCTTCTTTCGGGCTCAGATCCACACCGGGAATATTTCACACCGCACAGCTGCTTCATACTGTATCTCCCTCTTGGGCTTCAGTACAGAAAGATTCCTCGGACTAATGCAATTACTGAAAAACAATGGATAAGCGAAACTGCAAAACTGCGATACAGACACTTTTTTTGCATTTCACATTCATTGACGAGTGAGTAGAATCTTTTTATTTTCATTTTGCACAGAAACCTTTTGCTGGATTATGTTTGCGTGAAATCAGACGGTACGGGCATTTCACTTTCGGCTACTGTAGTTTGTAAGAATGAGCGTGCAGTGGATTCATAACCCGGTAACGTTACCGGGAAGACACGGACACAAGCGCTTTGACACAGACGAGCCCGTGAGCAGATGTCCGCGGCTCAGCGAGTCCTCGGCAGATGCGGGTCTCCTGGGATCCTCACCGGGATCTCCGGTAAGCGGAGCGCCTCTGAGCGTCACCTCAGCTCACCAGGGTCCCGCTCGCATCGGCCAGTTCCTGTTGGTGCCCCTGACCGACCGACCGGGGGTGCAGAGCGCTTTAGATATGGACACAGGAGAGGAACTGCTCTGCAAGGTAAACCGCTGCATACTATAAATGTACGTGACCTATATAAAGTATGACCCTCTCTTGTCAATTAACACGTCTTGTCCTTCCTGGCTGAGAGTGCGTTTTAATATTTAGTTTAAATATAAAAGTTCTAAATAAATGTAAAATAGTAACTAAAGTGTTTTAGATATTTTTTAGATATTTTTTAGATATTTTAAATATATTTAAATTTGTTATAGGCATTATAATGCTAATCATTTTATTTAAATCTTATCTTCACTTTTATATACATGTTTGTGTGTTATTAATATTATTATTATCATCATCAAATATTAAAATATTTAAAATTAAATTAATAATTTATGTGTTTGGTATATAAGAAACACATTGTTTTATGTTATTATAGATATTATAAGCAAAAAAAAAAATCATTCTATATAATACAACGCACTATAACAATTTACAGGGGTTACAAAGATCTTGTCACATTTATGATATCAATGAATCCGTCTTGTGGGTCTATAGTGCATGTAAACGCGCAAGCACATTTATTAGATATGTAAGGTTGGCATGACACTAAAAGACTATGAGTACTTCATCCACAAACAAATGTTTATATAGTCCTATAGTCCTATATTCCCTCCATTCACCTTTGCTTTACTCTGTCAGGGTAGATCTGTGGCTGCTTATAATACTATACTAAGCAGATCATGTTTTTTTTCATATGCAGGTGTTTGATATGGGCCAATACCAGGAGAAAATAAGAGCCTACAGCATGCTGTCAAATCATAAAAACATTGCACAGATCAAAGACATAGTTCTTGGGGAGAGCAAAGCCTATGTGTTTCAGGAGAAGGATTTTGGCGACATGCACACATTTGTAAAGAGCAGCAAGAGGCTTTCTGAAGACTTGGCATCCAAGCTTTTCTACCAGGTTGTATCTGCAGTGAATCATTGCCACCAGGTCGGCATTGTTCTGGGAGACCTCAAGCTCCGCAAGTTTGTGTTCACAGATGAGAAAAGGTGAGAATTTTATTTAAAATTGTGGGGGGGGGGGGTTGGGAGGGGGGAGGGGTGCACCAGGTGCAGTACTGTACCTCAATGCATCAATCCTGTGACATTACACTGGCTGAATTGTGTCACTTCTACTTTCATTCATTTTTCGCTTCCTCACGGCGATGTGACACATAACAGGTGATTGATGCTGCTTCCCTAAAGATTTAACAAGCCTATTTATTCTCCCTTACTCATTTTTCTGTGTAAGAGGAACAATTAATCTGACCTCTGGGACTGTGTCACAATTCTGTAGAAAACGAGAGTACTCTGAATTATGCGAGTCAAATATGGATAAAAATCTGCGGAAGAGGCTAAATTCAGGCTACTAAAGATGCATAAATAAATAAAACCCTTTGTAATATATAACACCTATAATATATAGGCCTATAAAAATGCTAAAAATACAGTATTTTATAAAACAAGCATTTTTATTACATATTAAACTAATATTTATGAGCAATATCACACGAGTAGCAGTGCAATGTGGCTGATATACAGGCTGATATACAGCCACATCGCACTGCTACTCGTGTGATATTGCATTCATACAACAGTTCGACAGCACAATCGTGTGTATAAAAAAGAAAAATCAAACATGGAAAGTCTCAAAACTCTTTTGTAGGATGAACTTCTTTCTTCCGCCTTTCATTCGCATCTGCAGCTGACATCAGAACAGCAGAAACCATTGCTCATTCACATCACTTTAGAGCTAGTATTTGAATAAGTCACTAGCGTAATGTCTAAAGTGATGACAAAACAGGTGATTTTACATTCATAAAATTCACATTTTAAGATTGTAAGGCTGAACTGCATGTAATGCCATCAGTCTACAGAAATATCTCCCAGTATTTCTCTGTTGCAATCGAGAGATCACAATATTACTATGGTATAAATACAGCACTACAACATACAAAAGAAAGAGGTTGACTTTTAAAGTCATTTACTTGTTTAATAATGATCTGATCAGCTGTAGTTAGAAATCACTCTGTATTTTTCCCTCCTATAAGGACTTATTATGCCTCTCTGCCCCAATCCTGTGGATGAACACCATCAACCGTCTTTATTCAAAGACAGGCTAACAGCCGCCGACTTGCTGTCTCTTAGAAATAATAAATATTTTAAAATAGGCACTACTCTTATAAAAAAAACTGCATATTTGCAATTTAAATAACTACATTCTTAACTAAAAAAGCCTCAAAAGTACATTAAGTTGCCCAACAGCAGCAATATTTGTAAAACTGTAGAGTGTCCTCTGCTTGTTGCTGTATGTGGGCGGAGTAACACACACGGGTGAGAGGTTGAAAGGCTGGATGAGTGCTGTTACTGGCAGAATATCGCACGACTATCAGCCAATCAGATTCAAGAACCAGACAGGACTGTTGTATAAATTTATATATACATTTTGAAAATAAAAGACATTTATATGTGTTACTTTAAATATTCTATGTAAAAAAATATTACACAAACTGAATATATTAAAATAAAGTTACAACTAAACAAACATAACTAGGCATTGCTGCATTGTTACATTAAATTGTGTAACCATTTTTTAAATACAAAATACCTGTATATCCATATTCCCTTCCTAGGAAATGAATGAGTTCAAGTGGATTTCCAATTACACAGGGGTTTCCTAAAACCAATTAGTCTACTACTCTGTCAGCCAACACACAGGGTAGCTGAATTTAGCTAATCTGCTGTTTTCTACATCCCTCAATTCATACAGTAGGTTTGCTATTCCTGCGGCAACATTTAAAGCCTGACCTTTGGCCACTAGCTTTCATCTGAGTGAATGGAAGTAGACAAGAACGTGTATGAAGACGCAGTCACCCTTCTCTCATAGCAGCAAACGGGTGCAGCGAGATGAGTCATAGCAATGCACACAGAGAGGGGAAACTCACCATTCAGGATCATCATTATACCCACACACACACACACACACACTCTGTGTTCCAGAATACAGTGTCGCTCACAGGTAAAGAGCGCCGGCTGTGCCCATTGCAACACAGCAGACTGGCGGTCTGGCCTGACAGACGCGTCTAGCGCAGACGTGACCAGGGCAAGCTGACATTTGGTGAGATGAAAGGCGCTTCTGCTTTCTTTCACTTTGTAGGTTATGCAAACCCGCTGTTCTGACTTAGGACGCACGCAATTTCCCTAGCCCGAATGGCTTTTGTGAAATGCTGCAATGATGAGTGAAGGATAGAGATAATGCCATGATATGGATCACATTGGCTGACCAGGAATGCGTCTGTAGGTAGATTGTGAAACACACAGGGGCTGTTCATGCGTCACTGATGTAACAGTGCTGCTCATGGGTAATAAGGCTCTGGCAGATGCTGTGAGTGTATGGCACAGGTGCAGGAGGAACACAGTAGACCTGCAGCACAGCGCAGTGCACTCATTTGTCCTTAGACTCGCTGTCTGTCACACACACACACACACGTACAGGACTATGAGTCATTCTCTCCACCTCTCCGGCAGAATGCTGTTGTGTCATCTGCAAACCCCTCCAAACCAAGGCTGATAGCCAGTGATGAAACACAATAGCATGCACAGCAGCTCGTGTTTTACTGAAAGGGATACCACAGACTCACGGGTCATCAACTCTACTGTTAATGTCCGCCGGGATATTCCTAGACTAGTAGGGGATTTGTTTCCTATTGGAAATTGGGCTAAACTTAGCGCTTAGTTTACAAGAACGCATTACGAAAATCGAAGAAGTGTGCGTTGTGGAAACTCTTGCGTGCTGCCTTTGTTTAAAGCAAGGCTGCAATTATATCTTTTACACTGTTTGGAAGTCAGAACATGCTGGAGTCTTTACATGCACTGCAATCTGCGAGCTCAACAAAAGTGATGGAGAGTCATTTCACTTTAAAATGAAGGCGTCAGTACATTACTTTGTTTGGCAATGAAAAGAGTAAGATAAAAAGTTCATCATCAGCAGGGTTACATGGAATCTGAGCCCACAGAGCTCTGCAGAAGTTGACGTACATTTCTTAAGAACCGGATCACCTGTCATTTTTTTTTATACACAGGAGTATAAATACCCCACCCCTTTGTAATATTTTGGGTAATTGGCGTTAAGCTGTAGTTAGGAGTGTAACACAACATACAAAGCTGTTTAAAACTTGAGTTTGCTCTCTGCATGCAATTCATGAAGAGATAGCGATTAAAGTGCATTGTGGCAGGGTTTTTCAATCTTTATAATAATGAAGACCATTTATAAAAAATCCAGGCAAATTACCACCGATTCTACAAAAAAAGTGTTTCTTGAGCTCCAATGAGCATTTCAGAATGATCTCTGACTATTCAGCTGTGCAGAAAGGTCTTCAATTATTCAATCATATATAATAATAGTATTCAATTATGTTAGAAAAGAACAACATACGACAATATTACACAGCAGAAATGTGCAACAAGGAGAATGTGTTGATATTAGAGATGTATGGAATGTTCGGCCATCGACGATCGCCCAGCCCCAAAAAATAGTATTCAATTAAATTTGAAAAAGACAACACATGACAATATTACAATTTTAGCTGTTTCGAATTAAAATAGATAAACAAAAATATTCGATCAGCAAAAATGTGTTATTTGAGCACCAATCAGCATTTCAGAATGATCTCTGACATTTCAGCTTTTCAGAAACGCCCAATTATTCAATCTTACATAACATTAGTATTAAATTCTATTAGTAAAAGACAACATACAACAATATTACAATTTCAGCTGTTTCTGATTAAAATAAATAAAAACATTCAACCAGCAAAAATGTATTGATTGAGCACTAATCAGCATTTCAGAATGATCTCTGACAATTCAGCTTTTCAGATATATATATACATACATATATATATA